GACGGTACCGTTGGCGACGGCGGCTTTCAAAAACTTCCTGATGAAAGGCGCCAACTTGGCGGGATCGACTTTGTAGTTGGCAGCCAAGTATTTCTTGATGGCTGGTAACGACGAACCTTTCTTCTCCTTGAGCTCCTTGATAGCCGAGGTGACCATCACGGCGGTGGTCGGGTGCAACGCAACGGTCTTCTTGACTTTAGAAGCCGACAACTTCTTCTTGGCAGGAGACTTCTTCGCGGCCGGCGATGCGGCGACTGGAGCCGGAGTTGTAGCAACGGTGTCCGTCATGTTGATGATGAAATTGTTCAAGTATGTATTTAAAACGATGGATAATTCCACTGTTCACTGCGGTGATACCAAATGGGTTAAAAAATGTGTAAATATATATAGTGCACCGTGCCAACTAGTAAACCAGTGTGATTCGCGTCGTCCTCCGGGCTACGGTTGTACAATCATTTTTCTCAATATCTCAACGGGAAATGGCGGTAAAAATCTGGTTTTGAACTTTTTGGAAAGCTAACTAAATTCTAAACGATCGCCAATGATTATTCCATCGCCACCCAGCACCACAAAACCACCATAAGTCGTTATTTCCACACTTTCAACCAGGTTTTCGTAAACCGTATTTGAAGGTCTGTCGTATGACTGAAACCAGTGGAAAATTTACAAAAATATTTTGGATAAATTCTCCACGAGTTTCCCGAGACCATAACGTTTGCAGATTTCCAATCGATCGATTTTCCGATGAACGGTGGCTGTTCGAATATGAAGGTTTTAGGACTCTGCTACGGCATGGTGTCACCGGCGTTTCTACCTACAATTTTAACGAGGCAGACTTTATAAATAAATCTCGTCTTAATCGTACTTTAGCTAATAATTTTGTATAAATAACTTATAATACCGCATTGTTAAAGGATTTTAGTTGAAACTCAATTGCAAATGATATGTTCATTTGTATGCACTTTGTGTCAATCGTAATAGCAATGGACCTGATTAGACTTCGGAAAACTGATTTGAATACATTAATAGGTATGTCTACTTGGGATCGATCGGGTCACATTTTCCAATGTATAAACTCCTATAAACTGTGTTTAAATATTTTACATAATCTTAAATGTTGATAATTTGAAATTTAAATATAATAATATTAAAATATTGCCTGATCGAACTGAATAGACAAGTAGTCATATTAACAGCTTCAAATAAGTTTTCACAAGTCTCATCGCGTTGTTATCTGAATTGACGAAAAGTAAATACAAATGGAAATTACAATATAAATTGTTTACAGTTCACCTGCGCGACGTCGTGCCGGTGACCTGTACGTACGCGCATTTGTTGTATCCGTCTTAAAAGTGTGCAACATAACTTATAATAAAACCATCGGTTATATTTAAAAAAAATCCCAAATGAAATATTATTTAAAACCATCAATGATTTACCTTATAATAATATTTAATTACGTCGAGATATTATTATTATTCCCTGTTTGGGTATTTCTACAGAAACAGATTTTCTGAAATGTAGTTCTTACAGCATTAATTTACATTTTCTACGTTTTGTGACACCTTTTTTTTCCAGTATTCTCGATATGCTTCGAGGTTTTTCATTGATGAGTTATTTTTAGAATGTTTTTACCAAATGTCTTGTTATCGACGGTAAATACCCGCACAACGGCTATTAATAGTGTATTCAATGCCATCGTGTTTATAGTATACTATATTTTATACATCGTCGTCATGTTCTATCATAGGAACCGGTATTTCTCACACCTTTTTTTGCGTTATTTTCTTTCTCGTGTATTAACTATACTGGAAATCTTTTCCAAGATGGTCGGATCAACATTCGTCGACTCTCAGCTTCTGTTTAGGAGCCAACGCAGTGTTTCCTATTTTTTGAAACAACATTAAATTTCATTGTTCTATAACAACAACTTTTCAGGGTCACCAATTTATATTTCACCCGTAAAATATTGCCACAAATTATTACATTTTTGTGAAAAAGTAAATGTTGAACGTCTCGTACCAGTCGTGATTATTGCCAACGTCACTAACTGTCGTTCTCCGGTTATACTGCAGTTTATAAGTAGAATTATCTGATTAGTCACACCTTACCCACCATCAAAAGTATAACACCGTCAGAGTAAAAATGGAAACTAGTAACCTTAATTGTGTTTGATATTTAACACTAAATATTATAATATAATCGTTATAACGTATAATGAAGTTCTAAAAATAAATCATTAAACAAAAATCTCATAAAAAGTTTATTTTAATGATAGGTTCACGAAACGAATGACATAGTGAAATAGTAAATCACCACTGACATTCACGGAAATAATCCATTGATCAAGAAACCAGACAGCAGTTCGATAACATCGTTATAATAATAGCTTTAGAACTCGATTAAAAAAAAATGAATATTATAATATCAACATTATCCTAGGCTGGAGAGAGTAATGCTTAACTTTAAATATTTCCCGTAGTTATTTTTGTAATATTGAATTTGAAATCCCGCAATAATATTATAACGAGATTATGTTATTTTTGGAATATTATTCGTACGTTTTGACTTGCAGTATTTCAATTATAATTGCTGAAAAACGTTTATCTAAAATAATATTTAATTCTGAGTGTTCTGTGTTAATTTCAAGTTATTTAATTTAAAAACGATTCAAGTACAACCATATTAAAATGATTACTGCACATTGAGCTTTAGAATAATATAAATATAATTATATTTGGAACGTCTATTACTACTCGGTTTGCAGTATTTATGATTTAATGTTATGACAGGTGAGGCCAAAGATAGAGCTTCATAATATCATCGTTCAACGGGGACATGATGGTTAAATATTCTGCGTGTTTTCATTTCGTGGTGAACAAACTGAGTGTTGTTTTCTTGAACAAAAAGTCAATATTATCGTTGTCACCAGCGAATAGTTTGCAACGGACTAGTTCCGTGTTGGTTAGGAATTCGAAGTGGGCTCCTCCTTTTACTTCGGGGGTTATAAACAACGTTAATTATTGTAATATGGTGGCCCTGAAAAGGGCCTTTTTAGGATTATTTTAAAAACTTCAGAAGTATGTCTTTAACCTCCGAAACCGTACAGAGTACGGCCTTGACGTTTGAGAGCGTACACGACGTCCATGGCGGTGACGGTCTTCCTCTTGGCGTGCTCGGTGTATGTGACTGCGTCACGGATCACGTTTTCTAAGAAAACCTTCAGAACTCCACGGGTCTCTTCGTAGATCAAACCGGAAATACGTTTGACACCGCCTCGGCGGGCCAACCGACGGATGGCGGGCTTGGTGATTCCCTGGATGTTATCACGGAGCACTTTACGATGACGTTTCGCGCCTCCTTTTCCCAGACCTTTTCCTCCTTTGCCTCGTCCTGTCATTTTGAATGTTGTTGGAGCGGTGTTGGACTTGTTCGGATGTGAACTGAACGTTGACTGATACTTTTCCTCAGGTCGCAGTCCCTTTTAACCGTTTCTCTCGAAGCCGAACCACCAATCGGAACCATGACCGGTTATCCCCCCGGCCCGCCACCACTAAAATTCTAACCGTTAAACATCGACCAATGAGGACGACCCATACGGTTCCGATTTACGTATATATACCGGTCGACTGCGTGCCGAACCTAAGAATTGGTTCAATCAAAGTCCAGTCCAGTCAGCGATTGATTCACCACCTCAAAGTGACGTTCAGCGTTGAACACGGAACCTCGGCTGCACCAGTTTCAAAAATCAGACATCATACTTCGTAAGTACCACTTTATTAGTCCCCCCCCTCCGACCACGAGGCAAGTGTACCTGAGGGTCCACGTAGCCGGGTCTACACCGTAGTACAGGCATTCCCGTCAGCACACCATGGCACGAACCAGGAAACAAAAAGGTTCCTCCCCGAAAAACAACACAAAAGGACCTCAACGACCAGAACCAAAGTCACCATCACCCTTCGACAATGAAACCTCTATTGTTACGGAGTCACCAACTCATTCTTCATCAACTATTGATTCTAACGACACCTGGGATGGCAGTGTGTCCCAAACCTCACGCTCAGAAATCGAACCACCTCATGTCAAACAAGAACGAATACCACCAATCATTATAGAACCAAACCATTGGATTAAAGCTGCCCCAAAAATCATGACACTATTTCCAAATGGTAAACTTACGGCTAAACTTATCAAAAACAACATCCATGCCCTAGCAACCGACTCTGCCACCTTTCGCCAGGCTCAAGACGTTTTGGAAAAAGCGAAAATACCTTTCCACACCTTTTCGTTACCAGCGGATAGATCCTTAAAAGTCTTACTCCGAGGAATACCCAACAACACCCTAGTAAAAGACGTTCAAAACGAACTCTCCGAGCTCGGATTTGAAATAACCCACATCAGACAATTCTTAAAAAATGGAAAACCACTACCAATGTACATGGTCACCCTTCCCTGCAACCCAACAAACAAGAACATATTCAATTTGACATCAATCTTCTACATCTCAATCACAGTTGAACAATACAGAGCTTCTGGGCCCTCTCAATGCTTCAACTGCCAAAACTTCGGCCACTCATCAGCAAACTGTAAACACCCCGCTCGCTGCGTCAAATGCAGTGGTGCCCACCAAACGAGGGAATGCTCCAAAACCGCCGAAAAACCTCCAAAATGCTGCAACTGTGGAGGAGAACACACAGCAAACTTCAGACAATGCCCTGTTTTCGCAGATCAAATGACCCTCAAAACTAAATCAACCAACACTGTTGCTAAATTACCATCACCAACCATTACGACAAATCCTACACCATCAGTTAAAGAGCCCAGCGGGACAAACACCTCTTATGCTTCAATTACTACAAATCACTCGGACAAAACCAACAGCAAATCCAAAGATTTGCTCACCAAACTTCTTATAGATACGATACAAAAAATATCCACTTCCGCTGATATCAAGGAAACAATCATGTCGGCCCTCTCAGCCATTATCATGATTATCCAAAATGTCTAACAATCTCCGTATCCTCTACTGGAACTGCCGGGGCGCCTCTAAAAAACGCCTCGAACTCCTTGAATTAGTTCAAAGGAAAAACATCGACATTATTTTACTCAATGAAACGCATCTTAACAACTCCCAACAATTCAAACTTCCAAACTTCCACTCATACATCACTAATCGCCCCCAACGGCTTGGACATCCTGCGTGGGGAGGCACTGCCATACTTATAAATCGAAAAATTGTTCACCACCAGATTAAGATCACTACATCATCAATTGAAAATACCTCAATCCAAATTCAAGTAGGCAACAAAGAATTAAGATTATCAGCGGTCTACAAAAAACCTGATACCCTACTTCTTACTTCAGACCTAGAATCTCTGCTTGATACTTCACACTACGTCGCCATAGCAGGCGACTTAAACGCCAAACACCAATCCTGGAACAGCAGGAGACAAAACACAGCAGGAAACACGCTCGCCAATTTCGCAGACAAGAGAAGGGACATAACCATAGCTGCCCCGACTTCGCCCACTCACTATCCTGATAACCCGACCCACAATGCTGATATACTGGACATAGCTATTCTCAAAACAGGGAATCTAAGGTATACAATAGAAAATCTCACAGCCGAACTTTCTTCCGATCACACCCCTATAATTCTTGAGTTACAAGCCCAAGGCACTCAAACCTTACCACCTAAAGTTTTTAAACATACAGATTGGACCAAATTCAATCTTGATACCAAAAACATAATCTTTGATCACAAGAAAATGCAAACTTCGGAACACGTCGACCAAGCTATCACTGAACTTACAGCAAAAATAGCTGACCTCGCAAACAGAAACACCCATGTTACTAACACAAAAGATCAAATCCGCAACCTACCCATCAACATCCTAAACGCAATCCACAAAAAACGCAAACTGAGGAAGAACTGGCAACACACAAGAAACCCAGACGTTAAGACGCTACTCAACAGACAAACAGCCCTAGTTCATGACCTAATACAATCACACAGAGACAACGAATGGGTCAACTTTCTGAGCAACATTGATCCCACAAGTGAAGGCTGGACAAAAATCTATAAATTAAACAAAAAACTCATGCACAAACGACCAGCTGTACACCCTCTTTCGGACAATCAAAATATTCTACACTATGACGCAGCCGCCAAATCGGAAATATTCGCTGATTCAATGGAAAAACAATTCCAAACACCAGACCACACAACCCAGACGGATGAATTAGTCAAGAATGCCATTGAAGAACATTTTAAAATACCTTATACCAAAAACATTTTCTTCTCCCCCGGAGAAATTCAATACACTATAAAGAAACTACCAAGTCAAAAAGCACCAGGTCCAGATCAATTAACTAACGCCTGTCTCAAACATTGTGACAGGAAAGTGCTACTACAACTATGTAACATTCTCAACACCTGCACGAGACTGGAATACTTCCCACAAAAATGGAAGCACGCCACCATAATCATGATCCCAAAGCCAGGAAAGGACGTCAAACGACCAGTTAACCACAGACCAATATCTCTATTAAACACGCTGGGGAAGGTTTATGAAAAACTGATCCTTAATCACTTGCAACACTACTTAAAGGACCATATTAGACCCGAACAATTTGGATTTCGGCCAAGCCATAGTACCACCACCCAACTTGTCAAAATAGTTGATGAAATCTCAATAAATCTAAACAAAAGGGCAAAAACAGCCACAGCATTTATAGACATCGAAAAAGCCTTCGACAAAGTCTGGCATCAAGGTCTGATCTACAAACTAATTCAATTTCAATTACCAATTCAGCTGCTTAAACTCCTCCAATCATTCCTCCAACTCAGGACATTCGAAGTAAGAGTCAACGACTCAACGTCATCATGTAGACCTATACTCGCCGGTGTACCGCAAGGATCGTGCTTATCCCCTCAGCTCTTCTCGGCCTACATTAATGACATGCCCCAGCACAAGGATTCAAAGACGGCTCTATTTGCAGACGATACCATGTTTTACGCTTCCGGACCCACCACTAACTGCGCCGTTAAAAGACTACAAAATCAAATAGATCTAACCTCCACATGGTTCAAAGATTGGAAGGTAACAATAAACCCTACTAAAACTACAGCAGTTCTATATGCAAACAAAATACCTTATCACACAAAAAATATACTAATGGAAGGCAACACTATAAAATGGTCCACCAAAGCCAAATACCTAGGAGTAACAATTGACTCCAAACTACACTTCACTTCCCACATCACAGACACAATGAACAAAACTAAAGCTGCAAAACACTGCCTATTTCCAGTTATCAATAAAAACAGTCCGATTCCCCTTAATATGAAATTATATATATACAAAACCTACCTAAGGCCAATTCTTACATACGCAGGACCAGCGTGGGCCTCCAACATATCAGAAAATTCTTGGAAAAAACTGGAGAGCACCCAATCAGGCTTTTTAAGAAACATCACAGACAGTCAATGGTTTGTAAGAAACTCAACAATCAGGAACTCTGCTGAAATCCCATCCATCAGAAAATATATACAGACCGAGACATCAAAATTAAAATCCACCATCACAAGTTCAAAATTCTCACACATCTCAAATATAAGCAGAAGAACCTCGCCTAAACAATTATTCATAAACAGACCAATCTCCTTCTAAACAAAAAATATCTAACTCATGAACTATCTCACCCCTCACATGCAACCCTCTGAAAGAAGCATCAAAGCTTGGAACAGAGTAACAACAAACAAAGCAAAGCAAAGAAGTGCCGAACAACATCATTCGTTCAACAGCCACGTTTTGCAGTCCAACTTAGAATAATCTTAACACAGCAGCGCAATGGCACGTACCAAGCAGACAGCTCGTAAATCCACCGGTGGAAAGGCTCCCAGGAAGCAGTTGGCCACCAAAGCCGCACGTAAGAGCGCACCCGCCACCGGAGGAGTGAAGAAACCACATCGTTACCGCCCGGGAACCGTTGCTCTCCGTGAAATCCGTCGTTATCAGAAGAGCACAGAACTTTTGATCCGTAAATTGCCGTTCCAACGTCTAGTGCGCGAGATCGCTCAGGACTTCAAGACCGACCTGCGTTTCCAGAGCTCCGCCGTCATGGCGTTGCAAGAAGCCAGCGAGGCATACTTGGTGGGTCTGTTCGAAGACACCAATCTTTGCGCAATCCACGCCAAGCGTGTCACAATCATGCCAAAGGACATCCAATTGGCCCGTCGTATCCGCGGTGAACGTGCTTAACTTGTTCATCATTAGTGATTATACCTTAAAAAGGCCCTTTTCAGGGCCACCAAAATGAATGCATATTCTGGATATAAAACGAATCCCTGTTGGATGGATGACGATTGTATTTAGCAAACTAATATAAATAGATATCACATCACTCTTCGTCAACTAAATGAAAGATATTTTAATCACAGTAAAAAAAATTCTTGTAAAAAAGTTTCAACCGCCGGGAAATTGCTTTCGTATTACTACTGCGATGCTGTTTCCTTATGTAATTGGATATTTTAGTATTATTCGAATTTGCTTTTTTATTGACATTCCGGTTGTATAATAAAAATCAGTATTTAATGACAGAAATCTAAACACAATAAAAAACCTAAAAATAAAAATAAAAATCTATATATTTTGAGAGAAATCTATGTTCAGAAAACAAATCTGATAAAAAAAAAAAAAGGTCTTAACCGATGGCGCCGGGAAATTGCCGCGACGCTGCCATAACAAAAAATCTATCCTTAAAGAAGGAAATTTATATTCAATGAAAATAAATCTAAATTGAAAGAAATCTATTAAAAAACCTATAAAAATGTATATTTGATTAAAAAAATCTGTTTTATGAAAGAAATGTATGTTCAATAAAAAAATCTAAATCCTTTAAAAAACCTAAAAAAATGTATATTTGAAGAAAAAAATGTATATTTGGTCGACAATCTGGTAAAAAAGTCTTAACCGATTGCGACGGGAAATTGGTTTCGTATTAAAAAAATCATAAAAAAAATCTTCACTGAAAAGAATGACTATATTTAAAGAAATCTATATTTCAAAAAAGAAATGAATATTGAATAAAAAAATTTAAAACGAATTCAAACAAGTAAACTTCAACATTGTTGGAAGTTTTTTTTATAAATTTGTAATGCCAGATGTGAAGTTGGCAGTACAAAGTGTATGGCGGGTCAGTTAAAAAGTGGGGGTCCAACAAGTCTATTTGAACATTGTTGGAAGGTTTTTGAAAAGTTTTGCCAACATTGTAATGGATAACTCCACGTGGGTGTATATTACTTACACAGCCGGACAGCGCTTTTTCCCTTTCATTCATACTGATAATCACTCAGCGTCCTATTGCCCCCCCCCCCTTTCTATACACCGTCGTACCCTCCTCTAATATACTACCATGCGGCGAATTCATAGTCGACAATAATGGTCGTTAATAACAAGAATTAAATGGTGATTGGTGGCCCTGAAAAGGGCCGTTTTAGTCGAGTAATAATCGGTTCAGAACCAGTGAATTATTTAGAGCTGGTGTACTTGGTCACAGCCTTGGTGCCTTCACTGACGGCGTGCTTGGCCAATTCACCGGGCAACAAGAGTCGGACGGCGGTTTGGATTTCCCGGCTGGTAATGGTCGAACGTTTGTTGTAGTGAGCCAGACGACTGGATTCGGCGGCGATGCGCTCGAACAGGTCGTTGACGAAGCTGTTCATGATGCTCATGGCTTTGGACGAAACTCCGGTGTCGGGGTGTACTTGCTTCAGCACTTTGTAGATGTAGATTGCGTACGATTCTTTCCTCTTGGGCTTGCGCTTCTTGTCGGACTTGGCGATGTTCTTTTGTGCCTTGCCGGACGACTTCTTCATCGCTTTACCCGCCGATTTTCCTCCTGGAGCCATTTCGAATAGTTGTATCTAGACTTGTTGACGACTGAAACGTTGAGTACTGAGTGATAATTTTTGCGTCATAGCGGTGGGTATATATTACCAAATCCAAACGACATGTCGTTCGTTTATTGGTGTAAATACCATAATGATGACGATGGAAATAGGATCGCCGATTAGTCCACAATAACTAAAGATAAGAGTTTATTCACAAGTACGTTTCATGATTATGCCCAATGAAAACAACATCGTTTGGTAATGAAAGTCGAACAAACGTTGTGACGTAGTACCGTAGTGTCGTTATCTCTGTCCAATCACAGTTTTCCATCATCCACATTTTTACTATATATATACGAAAGTTTCAAGCGGGATTCTGCATCAGTCTTATTCAGTATCAAATTTGAACCGTACACCAAGCACTAATACAATCATGAGCGGACGCGGCAAGGCAGGAAAATCGAAGGGAGGCAAATCCAAGACCAGGTCTTCCCGGGCCGGACTCCAGTTCCCGGTCGGACGTATCCATCGTCTGTTGAGGAAAGGAAACTACGCCGAACGTGTCGGAGCCGGAGCACCGGTATACCTGGCCGCCGTCATGGAGTACTTGGCAGCTGAAGTTTTGGAGTTGGCCGGTAACGCCGCCCGTGACAACAAGAAGTCTCGTATCATCCCCAGACATTTGCAATTGGCCATCAGGAATGACGAGGAGTTGAACAAATTGTTATCCGGAGTAACCATCGCTCAAGGTGGTGTGTTGCCCAACATCCAAGCCGTGCTCTTGCCCAAGAAGACCGAGAAGAAGGCCTAACTTCGCCATCATAACCACCAAACACAGTTTAAAACGGCCCTTTTCAGGGCCACCAAAATTGAAATAAACGTCCATTCGAATCACATTACATTGCAGAATTTTTTTACGTCAACCGGGCAGCTCTGGAAAGTGTAGTGCCACACGTGAAGTTATCAGTACAAAAAATTAAAATGAATAACTAAATCGGGGGAGGCTCCAGCGAATTCCAACAAGTCCGTTGTTTTCAAGGTTTTTTTTTGAAAAGTACTGCTAACACTGTAATGATAACTTCACGTGGGTGAAATATATTGAATTATCGGTTCCTATGATATAATAATATGAAATAAATATAATATAATAGTATGCTATAAATACGCCGTTCTGCGGGTATTGCCGTCGATAACGAGACGTTTGGTAAAAACATTCTAAAAATAACCCATCGTATGGACACGGGGAAATTTCATTACCGCGTGTTGTAGTCGGTCGATCCTCGGTAATGAAAATATTAATATTAACTCATGAGCGACCGAGTAGGCTATACCTAACCATATTATACCCGTACACAATGTCAACGTGTGTCATTCGGAATTTTTAATTAGGCGCCATCGGTATTTTACGAAATTGAAGCCATATAAACACCGAGAATCCTGGAAAATTGTTGTATATTGATCGATTATCAATAACACAAATGTATTTATAACAATGTAAATGTTTACATGGTAAATGGCGTAACAAAATACTTCCCCAGAAAGCGCAGTGAAAAACCCACACAGGAAAAACGGGAATTTTTACGCAAAATAGGTCTTCCACAAAACCGACTTTGGTTTTTGGTGTAACTCTAAAACAAATGAACACAATATATTGTAACTTTCACGGGTTGTTTATATTTCCATTTTCCATACACGATCAAATTTTCAAAATATTTTGATTTGTTTTGAACCGTTTTTCTATGAATGTCAATAAAACCGTATTTGTTGGGTAAAAAAGCTTGAAAATTGAATACAAGGCTCCTACTATATTGTTACAACGACATTTGAAAAATATTAAAAATCCTTGGTCACAGTTTTTTTTTTTTTTTATAAGCATTTAAAGTTCGAATTTTGACAACATTTCTCAAATTTAAAATGTAATGATTATTTTCTAGCTAAAAATGTTCAACTTTTATAGCTAAGGATTGAAAATTTATAACAAGGTTCCGCGTAAATAGGTTATATATGAATAATTACTTTATTCACAATAATAATATCATCAAATATACTTAGTAGCATTATAGGCCGACTGACCGTTTTCGCTCAGAATCATTTTTCTTCTACAAAGACATTATATCATTGAATTCAAATTTAACACCATCCGTTACAGTGACCCGCTTGTAACCTACTGTACAGCCGAGCGACATCCAATTACCCACCTTTTTTTTTTTTTTAGTTTGTTTGTCTGTCATCACAAGGGGCAGTAAAAGTACGTTGATTACTTACTGCGGAGTAGTTTCTGGTAGGAAAATGAACGTAGTTGGTAATTTTGGGGGGTAAATATTACATAATTTTCAGTAACTTTTGAAAAACCAAAAATAAATTAAGGGAGATTTCCCCACTCAAAGTCAGTTCGAATTTATATGTTGGTGTACTGTTATAATCCTCATTATTAGTATGTAAAATAATAACATAATTATGTATTTAAATTCACTGGCATTCGATGACTTTGTTAAAAAGCCATATCATAGGAAAGCCTGGGCACAGATCAAAGGTGAAGACTAGAAATAGCTCACTCCTTTAGATTGTACGGACGGCATCGTAACAAGGTGACTCCGCTTAGCATAAATAGGAAAGTCATAGGCAAAGTAGGGGAGTCGGAGTCGAATACTAGAGTATGTACTTTTAGTTCAGAACGGGCGTTTGTTATTATTAATAAAAATACTTTGAGTATACGTACATCTTTATTATACTTCCAATTCGATTTCGAGTGCTGAAGCGACACGTTAAAACAGTACC